GAGGGAAAGAGGAAACATTGTATTAGACGGGACTGCATGGATAGTCTAGGAGAAGGTGTGCACAATAAGCACAAAGCTCTGAATGTAAGGGGCTTGCTAAAGCTTCGTATCCTTTCTGGCAACTCTGGAGCTGTTCTTCCCCAGCCGTCTGTTCATATTCTCTCCCCTTCCCCTCTGGCAAGTACTTTCTGGCATGGAATGTACTCTGTTTTCCTATAAACAGGTCAGAACTTCTTTTCATTCTGGACATACATTTTCATGGCTAAAAATATAAACTCAAAGCACTACACTGGCCTGGACTTTCTGAGCAGCACTCTGGCAACTCCTATCAAAAACCAAAAGCCAATTACATTTCGGGGGATTTAGCCTAAGGAACCAGTCAGACTCCTACTTAGAGCTCTAAGTACAAGATGTTCCTAAGAGTGTTGTTTAGGTGAAAGCTGCAGGACTCTAGCTGAGTGGGCTCGGGCAACATCTCTTCTCCCATATGCATTTGCATTCACTGGTTTAAGAAGCTGAGCACAGGCTAAGTCAGGAGTTGAAGGGCCTCTTGAGGACAAAATAACTGAAACGTTATGGTTATTTTTTGTTTTGTTTTGTTTTTGAGGTTGAGACATATACAGGACGGTTTGGTGAATGCGGCCTCAGTGGAAACCGGATGGGGGGAGTGCTAAGATGAATTTTATCATATCGGAGGAGGCAAGTCAGGCAGGACCTCATCATTAGAAGTAACCAGTGGTTTGAAACACAGCATGTTAGCTGATGCCAGCCCTTGAGCCAATCCCTCTGCTAGCGACTGATCTTTTTGGTTTGCCTGGGACTGAGGAGTTTCCTGGGGCTTGGGCCCCCCAATGCTGAAATCAGGAAAGTCTCAGCAAACTAGAATAGCTGGTCCCTACCTCTACCAGGGAGACGAGGTTCGCGCTCAGAGAAAGAAGTTATGTAAGAATGATAGAGCGTGTCCCTCCACACCGGACACACTGGGCTTGGAATAGCCTTGCTACGGGACCCTACCTGAGCATGGCAAAGGTGTGTTTTCCTTCTCACTTCACAGGGGTAGTGCCAGCAATAAAGATCATCCATTTTGAAGTACAGTAATGGTAGTTTGGTCGTGCCAACATTGGGAATAGCGGATTTTCAGAACACCGTGATGAGTCGGTACAACAAGAGAAACAAAACTCCAGCCTAAAGTGCCCCCCCCCCCGTGGGACTGTCCTACACGGGATGTGTCTGTCACCCTGGCCTGGCTGGCCGTGGAAGCAGGCGATGGCAGGAATGATCCACTGACACAGGTACATACCCCTGGGGGCTCCTGGAAACATTTAAGGGGAAAGATTCTGAAAATGATGGGAATTGGGGCCTTAGCATTATTAAATTGGGGAAATTTATGTTACTGGGATTACATTTGTGTTCATTGGCTAGCAAAAAGCCTGAGACTTTCAGGTCACGTTTGTGAATGAGAAATTAAAACATGCAGTCTGATAATAGGAAATTGATGAAATAAATTATACTATTCATAGTCATTTAGAATAAAAATGTAAATATATATATTATGACAGAGACATGCAATGAGAGTTATAATATTACTGAGTGGAATAAAATCAGTATGTAAAATATGGCCCATTTCTATTACAGGATGTCGACATTTTTAATTTAGAGGCACATATATGGACAACCACAAGAGTCTAGAAGATTAACAGTGATGGACTCTGAATTTGGGGTCACTTACATTCATTCTTGTTTCTGTTGGTATCTCTCAATTTTATAATTTTTCTAAAAGAGCATGCATAATGTATGCTACACACACACACACACACACACACACACACACGCTTATTAAAACTATCTGCACAGTCTACACGGTTGCAGCTTCCCAAACCTTTTCATAAAAAACGCATTGTATCAGGGCACCTGGGTGGCTCAGTCAGTTAAGTGTCTGACTCTTGACTTCCGCTCAGGTCATGATCTCAGGGTTCATGAGTTCAAGCCCTGCGACCAGCTCTACACTAACAGCACTGAGCCCGGTTGAGATTCTGCCCGTCTCTCTGCCCCTCTCCCACTCGCACTCTCTCTTTCTCAAAAATAAGTAATAAAAACATTAAAAAAAAAAGGGGGTCGTGTCTACACTTTAAGATATGTTTATATTGAACGCTGACACCTTGGCTATATTCATAAAGAACAAATCACCTTTAGGCCTGGGCTAGAAACTCCGTGCAGTTTGAGGCTCAGGAGGTAAAGAGCATAGGTCTCAGTTTTCATGACCATCTGGGTTCAGGAATTGGTGGGGAAGGACTTAGAACTCCACTTTCTTTTTTGCCAGCACAGGCGTCCTCGGTGCCCGCACCTGCATGCAAAACAAGCCCTGGGAGCTGCCCAAGCTGAGGTAGCACGCGAGGAGCCCTCTCATGGACACGTTTGCCTGAGCAGAGCACAGGCTGTGACAGGGCTTTCCGCAGACCTTCCCTGGACGGGAGCCCTCATGTCTGTCATCCCAGAGCCTGGCAAGAAACAGAGGTGAGGGGGTCCCCCCATATGTGTTCGCTGCACTCGTTACACGATGTCAACCACCGCAGGAGCCAGAAGCACTTGACTGTGCTCTGTAGCTCTGCATTTCGTGAGACGCTTTATGCAATATGAACGCAGCGGCATTTCTTATGCTGGATTTGCCGTCTCTGTCTGTTCCCAGCCTAGAGGAGTAACCAAAGGGAGTAGCAAAGTAGCCGCTCTGGGAAGGGGCTCTCGCTGGCGCCGCATATTGGAATGCACTGCTGATGGCCCAGACAGTAGAAATTAAAGGGCACAAAAGCTCCTCTGCTTGCGTCTGCAACACGCCTTGACTGGTGATGAGTAGAATTCAGAGGGCTTAAGAATCGCATACTTAACAGAAGCTCATCCAGACCTCTTTGGTCTGGATAATGGGCTGGAAATCAAGCTCTTGCTGAGAGTTTCTGGTTCAATCAAGTCAGAAAAGAACTTGAATCCCAATTTTTTAAATACATACAGTTTTATAATATGATTGAAGGGGTCCTTCGGCCTTCAGTTTTTACCAGCTAACCCACATTTCTTCATTTGTCACCTCGCATCCAAAAATGCACAGAAGATTTCATTGTATCCAAGCTGTCAAGAAAGGAGCACTTATTTAAAGTACTTGGTCTGGGGGCGCCTGGGTGGCGCAGTCGGTTAAGCGGCCGACTTCAGCCAGGTCACGATCTCGCGGTCCGTGAGTTCGAGCCCCGCGTCGGGCTCTGGGCTGATGGCTCAGAGCCTGGAGCCTGTTTCCGATTCTGTGTCTCCCTCTCTCTCTGCCCCTCCCCCGTTCATGCTCTGTCTCTCTCTGTCCCAAAAATAAATAAACGTTAAAAAAAAAAATTAAAAAAAAAAAAAAAGTACTTGGTCTGTCCATCTAAGGGTTTAAAAAATTTGTTTTAATGTTTTTATTTATTTTTGAGACAGAGACAGAGCACAAGTGAGGGAGGGACAGAGAGAGAGGGAGACACAGAATCTGAAGCAGGCTCCAGACTCTGAGCTGCCAGCACAGAGCCCAATGCAGATCTTGAACCCCAAACCATGAGATCATGTCCTGAGCCAAAGTTAGACATGTAAGTCACCGAACCACCCAGTTGCCCCTGTGTCAAGGTTTCAAAAGAGTTCGGCTGACCTTACAAGGTGGAAATATAGAGCATTTTAAAATTGTGCCCATTGAATTCTTTAAAGTATGATACTGATTAGAGAAGCTACAAATTGGGACATAGTAATTCCTGGAAGCAAAACTCTGCTCAGAAGAAAAAGAAAAGAAGAAAAAAAAGAGGAGGGAGGAGGGAGAACATTGAGAATGTCATCAATCATATAAGTAAGGGCACTTCTCCTCTCGGAGCTTCAGGTCACTTTTCTGTCTATCGAAAGTACTAAATTATGTGAAGAGACATCTTTTATCCTATGTATAAAGGTGGGGGAGAGGGATGTAAGACATTAAGAGAAGGGCATACTAGTAATTTGAATTCTTTAAGTAATAAAAATTTCTGGAAATACCACTAAATGGAATTATGCTCTTCAGAAGGTTGGACCTCACTCAGTAGTACACTGACTTTAGAAGCTTCTTGGATTACCCGGTGAAAGAATGCAACTCGAGTTGGAGTCGGGAGTTCAGAAGTCATATACATTTAAATCTTAGCGTTTCCTTTTTTTTCCCTTCAGATGTCTGAAGCAACTTTAAATGGGAGCTTCAGTTCCTCATACATCCCCAAACTGCAAAATCGCCTCTAGCTGCTGAGCTCTCTCAATCTCCATTAGACTCATGCCCATTTACTGAGGCCAAAACTGTCCACCTCTTACTGCGCTTGCACGCGCTCTCTCTCTCTCTCTCTCTCTCTCTCTCTCTCTATTTTTTTTCTATTTTTTTTAAATTAGTGCTTCCCTATAGGAAATACAATGAAGTCTTCTCTTGCCCTGAGGTCAGATTCAAGACTTTCAGAGTGTTAGAACAGGCAGAGATCCTAGCACTGAGCTGGTCCAACCTCTCCTTTTCACAGGCGAGGAAACTGGGGTCAGAGTAGTTAAAGAGACTTATCTACAGTCATAGAATGATTTCCTGCAAAATAAAGAACAGTATGGATTGTGTAGAATGACAGGCCTCTGAAGTTACTCAGACTGCATGTGTGTCCCAGATCCACCTTTTGCCCTATGGCCCAAGGCATAACCATAAGCTGTGGTTACAGCTTCTACGTCATATATAGGAAGGGGATAATAAAATATATATGAAGGGTTGCTATGTGGACTAAATGAGAGCTAAAAGAGTGTCTGCCCCAGGATAGACTTTCAATAAACGTCAGTTTCTTTTCTTACAAAGACAAGATTCCAGAAGTCTTCAAATATTTAGGGGATTAAGATGGCCAAATGTCTCAAATTTATTTTAGGCCACATGTAAACGAGGTAGAACTTCTATTCTTAACTGACTTCTGTAATCTGTACCATTTCCTAAAACCCCTTATCTCCATAGGAACTCCTTGAAACAAAAATATTTCCACCAATGGCAGAACGCAGTACTCCTGTGCCTTCCTCTTGAAGCCTGAAAAGTGCTTTTTCTTCACACTGGGAGGGGGAAGGGACCTTCCTGACATTGGCCTATATTACTCAGGATGTAGCTCAAGATCCAGAAGATGGGCCTCCTGGTAAGATTCACATAGCAATCATAGAAAATCGGGCTCAGCACTTGGTGTAGAATCAGGAAAATTACAAGATGAATGGACCGTTGTGAATATGAAACATAGCCTGTTCTTTAAAGTGAAAAGGAAGGAAAGAAAGACCCTGGCAATTATCGCCCTGTAAACATCAGTTCCAGCTGTAATAAGTGTGTGTGTGTGTGTGTGTGTGTGTGTGTGTGTGTCTGCATGTGTGTATGTGTGTGTGTGTGTGCACGCACACACGCGTGTGGTTAAGTAGCAGGAAAGTGATGATATCAGGAACAATAAGTGGCTTAGGCTTCAAAGAAACAAATCATGCCAGCACAATAGCTTTTTTTTTTTTTTGACAGAGTTATGAATAGATGGTGGGGAAATGCAAGAGATGTAATATATCTTATGTTAGTAAAGATTTGATATGTCTCAGGAAATTTTATTTGCAAAATTAGCTACAAGATCACAAAGAAAGGTTATTGATAAATTGCAAAGTATCTGGTGGTAGGAAGGTGCAGAGATGGCCGCCAGGGATGGCCTTATTTAACAGTTTCATCATTAATTTGGAAGAGGGAGTGAATCTTTCTCTGTGTTCATAAAAATTGCAGGTTATACGAAATCAGGACATGGTGTGAACACTGATCAGCCAGGGACTGACACAAAGTGGTCCCCAAAGAAGGAAGATTGGACAGAAACAAGAGGCAACTGAGAAGAGCCACATTTTTAGGTCTGTTTTGATTTACCTTTCTTGTAGTGCATAAAATGAGAATGTGATAGCCAAGTGGGGTGACACAGACATGGAGAAGAAGATGGGCAACAGAAAGGAATCTGTTCAACACACACTCGTGGGGACCCTCATTTGCTGGGGCCAGGGTGTGCCAAGTTCTGCACGTGGACTTTGTGCTGTGTGAGCAGGTACTCAGACAAGGCTCAGGGATATTAGGAATCCTGCAATAGGAGAGGAACTTAAAATTTTGCATAATCTGACCATTACGCATCAGGTATAATTTGACATAGATTTGACTTCCTTGACTTCTAGGAATTCTGTAGATTTACATTGTATCTGTAGGTCAGTGGTCCACTTTGAGTTAAGCTTTGTAATAGGTATGAGGTATGGGTCAAGGCAAAATTTTTTTGCATAGGGATATCCAGCACCATTTTTTGAAAAGACTGTCATTTCCTCTTGAATTGTCCTTCTTTGTCAAAAATCGGTTCTCATCCATGTGTCAGTCTACTTCTAGAATATTTGTTCTGTTCCACTGGTGTGTGTGTCCATCCTTTTGCCAGTAACTCACTTTCTTGATTACTGTAGCTTTATAGTAATTCTTGAAATCACCTAATGTAAGTCCTGCAACCTTGTTCTTCTTTTTCAAAATTGTTTAGGCTATTCTAGTTCCTTTCTTCTTTCATGTAAGTATTATAAACATACTAACATATAGGGTCAATCCATGAACACAGGGTATCTCTCCATTTCTTTAGGTTCCTTTGATTTCTCTCATCAGTAGTTTTTTTAAAGGTATGGATCCTGCACTTGGTGCTATTGTAAATGATATTGTTTTTTTTTTTTTTTAATTTCACATTCCGATTTTTTATTGCTTGTATATAAAAATACAAATGATTTTTGCATATTGACCATGTACCTCATGGCCTTGCTGAACTGACCTATTAATTCTAAGGCCTTTTTGTAGATTGTTTGGAATATCATAACAGGCAATCATGTCATCTGTGACAGAGAATTTTATGTCTTCTTTTTCAATCTGTATGGATTTTATTTGTTTTTATTGCCTTATTGCCCTGACTAGGACTTCTAGTACAATGTTGAAGAAGAATGGTAAGAGAAGAAACTCCTGTCTTTTCCCCATCTTAGGAGCAAGGCAGTGAGTCTCCATATATGATGTTAGCTGTAGGCTCCCAGCATATGTCTTTTATCTTAAGAGAGTTCCTCTCTATTCCTAGTTTCCTGGGAGGTTTTAATCATGAATGGATGTTGGATTCTGCCAAGAAAATTTTGCATCCATTTCAAGAATCAAATAATGATTTTTTGCTTTAGATTCTCTGTTATCTTTTAGAGAAGCTAAAAGTGAAATTGTGAATTTATATCATACCACATTTCTTAATTTTATATAGAACTAAGTTTTTGTCTGATATCATATCCCTTCTACTGGAAGACCTTTTTAAAAACATTTCTTGCAGGCTACATATGATGGCAATAAATATTATGTTTTTCTTTGTCTGATAAATTCTTTATTCCTCCTTCATTTTTAGAAGATATTTTTTCCAGGGGTAGAATTCTGAATTGACAGATTTTTTTTTCCTTTTGGTCATTTCATTGTTCTTTGGATTGTATAGTTGCTGACAAGAAGTGTATTATAATTCTCATCTTTGTTTATCTATCTGTATTGTGTTCTTTTTCTCTAGCTGTCTTTAACATTTCTTCCCCTCTCCTTTGGCTTTGAGCAGTTTGGATATGATGCTGGTAGAGGGGTTTGTGTGTGTGTGTGTGTGTGTGTGTGTGTGTGTGTGTGTGTGTTTAGTATTTATCTTGCTTAGTCTTCTCTGAATTTCTTAAAGTTGATATTTGATACTTGTCATTGACTTTGGAAATTTTGCAGCCATTATTTCTTCTCTTTTCCTCTCTTTTCTTTCTGGGATTCTAAGTATACATACACTAGACCACTTATATTCTGACAGCCCTGAGATGGAAAGAGGCTGTCTCTGAGGTGCAGCAAAAATGGATGACCTAATGCTCAGGGTAAGGCAGCCACTGAGAAAAAACCCGTATTTGTTTATTTAGCATTAGTGTTACTCTCTGTGTTTCAGTTTTTGTAATTTATGTTGACATATCTTCAAGTTCACGGATTCTTCCTTCAGCTGTGTCAAGCCTACTGATGAGGTCTTTGAAGGCATCACTGAAGGCTCTGCTACTGTACTTTTTTCACTTAAGCATTTTTATGTGACTTTTGCTTATAGTTTTCATTTCTTTGCTGAAATTACCTATCTTATCTTGCATTTTGTCCTCCTTTCCTGTTAGAGTCCTTAATATATTAATCATAGTTATATGAACTTCCGGGTCTGAAAGTTCCAACATTTGCATCATATCTGGTTTGGTTCTTTTGTTTGCTTTGTCTCTTTGCAGTGTCTTGTTTACCTTTTTTTTTTTTCACTTGCTTCATAACTTTTTTGTTGAGAGCTGGACATCTTCTGTAGAATGGTAGAGGCTGAGAGAATTTTATGCTGAAACTGGGCATGGTTTTCTTATGCTAGTCCTTTACTCTGCAGTTTTAAATGAATCCAGTAAGGACTTGAGCTGTGTTTAGGGTTTATTGTTGCCATGGTTACCCACAATGCATCGCATGCTCCAGATGCCTCTAGTTCAGGATGGGGGCTGGTTCACTATGGGGTTTTTCTCAGTGGCTGCCTTACCCTGAGCATTAGGTCATCCATTTTTGCTGCACCTCAGAGACAGTCTCTTTCCACACTATTGCAATACTCCCTACAGAAGCCCATTGTTACTTGACATGTGTTAGCTTGGTGATGTTGACAGGGGCCTCTATTGTTCAGATAATATGTCAGACTTAGATAGTCACTGGGCCCTTGTGTCTTATGGGCTTTCACTGCTTTGTCAGTCCTCCTGCCTCTGCCCTGAGTTTAGAAGATTTCGTTTTTCTTTTTTCTTCCTCAGCTACAATAGGTTTTTGACAGTGCCTTAGAGTGACCATGTTTGTTTCCCTTCTTCCCACTGTATAAGGCTTGTGTTCCATAGGGGAAGTATGCGAAGGATCATGGAGAAGGGAGCCCTCACTTTCCCACAGCCCTGCCATTCACCTTCTACAAGCATATACTCCAAAGGATGCTTTCTCATGACCCTCACCATTATGTTTTGTGAGCACATGGGTAGGTTACTTAGAAAAGAGTGTACACGTGTGTAAAAATCTAATGCCCCCGGCAATCCTATATTCTCTACATTACTCACTTATACCCCGCCTTTGTTGACCTACACTCAATCCTCACCAATTTGTTCACAATTTTAGCTAAATTCTTCTTACCATTGTCCAGGTGCATGTGTCCCAGGTAAGAAAATGGCCTCACCTCCTCTGTCTTTGTAAGCAGCTGTCATTCCTTACCTCTCTGACAGGGTAAAGAGAAGGTGTGGATTTGCCATTTGCCTGCTTTTGTGTGTGTATGTTGTTGCTGTGTTTGCTGCTGTTGTTTTTGTAAGGATGAGTGTGATACTCTTTCCAGCTTTCTGTGTCCCCAGATGGAGCAGAGAGTGTCTTTTTCTTTTGATAAGACAACTAGAAATCTGCCGTGTGTTTGAGACCAGATCCCATTCTGTCCCCCCATGCCTCTCCCTTTCTTGTGGCAGTGATTTTAGGGATTTGGAATTAAAGGTCCTAATGGAGAACTGAAAAATACACTCCCCTTGTAGGTAAAATGGGATCCACCTCCTGTATTGATTTGAATCATTTGATATTTGCTCTAGAGTCCATTTTGGATATTTTTTCATTATTCTCCTGATCATCAATAAAATCTTCAGAAATTCTCATGTGTTGAGAGAGCATGTGAATTACGTTATTACACATTTATTTACCCTTGATAACACTTCACAGAAGCTTTCCTAAACCACATTTCCCACTTCCTGTTTCAAAGGTATAAAGCCAACAGGCTATTCCATTATTTCAAACAATAAAAGAAATCATTCAATTAGTAGTATGTCAGATGAAAGGGACACTTTGAATTGTGGCATTATTCTGAACGTATGAAAAGCAAAGTCTGCACCTGTCATAACTATGGGATGAGGCATGAATATTCTATACATTTCTGATTAATCAAAATCCACGCAAAAATATCAGTCAGATCAGAAGAGTCAGAATTGATTAAACCATATTTAGCTTATCTGTATTGTCCTGGTATCACACAGATTAGAATAGAAGCCAGTGTGATAGCGTGAGAACAAAAGACTTGTCAACCTGACACTATTTTAAACACAGAAACAAATGGAATCTTGCAAACCAATCCTGATTAACTAAACCTGACTCTACCTTGAAAAACATAATGGTATTTTTATGATTTTAATATGGTTATCAGCACATCCCTTCTATTCTAAGGTATCTAGACACATAATCTTCAGGTATTGGGAAATAGCATCTCCAATTTGAGAATAACATGGTCTGCAGTATGCCAGCCACATACAGGAAACTACAGGGCAAACTTGTCTCTGGTGTGATTAAAAGCTCACTTGAAAGGACCTCTTTGCATGTGGAACTTTTCTGGGCAAAGGATAGAGGGCTTCTTTGTCTTCAAAGAGCTTCAAAGGATATACAGAAAAAAGCATGTGCAAACTGGAGAATCAGATGTGTGAGGTAAGGAAAGTATTAACGTTTTATGCTCAGATGATGCCTAGTATCTCAAGCCCCCTACACCTTGGCTTCTTCCCCCAAACAAAATCTGTTCATATATAAACGGGCAGAACAAAGCTCCACCTGATCCCTTCCATTGCTGTTGTGCTGGGCAGGCTGAAGGCTTTGGAATACTGGGTGGCTATGGATGGTGACTGTGGATGCAAAGGTGGACTGTAATAGTGGGGGCCACTGCTGGGGATGATCTTCCCTGCCTGGCCTCAGAGGACCTTGCAGTGGGCAGATGTAGCCCTGGGTCTGTCCTCTACCTGACTAGAATGTATTTTGCGAACGACTTATTCACCATGCCTTTTACTACCATATTACCCACCTGAAGATTAAATCTTACACTCCCTGAGAAGCTGGAAGATAAGTTGAGCATGCTCCCGAAGCTTTTCCTCTCCGCTCTCGGTGTCCTGAAACTCAACCCCATTGGGTCCCTACAGCCCATTTTTTGGACTAGGAGGCCTCCCTCCCTCCCGTGATCCACAGCAGCATTTCTGATGGAAGAGGCTGCTGGTCCTTCCACCCTGGTGGGCAGAGGGTGATGTGGTGAGCTCTTTCAAGAGGGATGTGTGCATTTAAAAAAACAAAACAAAACAAAACTCCATCTCTGCCAAAACCTATAAATACTTTCAATAAAGGCATTTTCTCTTTTGTTTCTAAGAAGAGAATAGCGTGGTGGGGGACAACATAAATTTTAAAGTCCACAATTTGTTCCATTCAAAACCAATTAGCAATCAGAGCGACAGTGGGCTTTTTCTGGGCTTCCCGCAGCATCAATACCACAACAGCTCTTCCCAAGCTAGCTGAGTTGAAATATTCTCACCTGACATCCCTTTTTTTTGTTGTTGTTAACCCACCCCCCCCTCCCCTTTTTTGGTTTACTTTTCTTTAAATCCACAAACTTTATTCATTGGCAAGCAATGGAAAGAAGTTTGACTTATAACATTTACAAAGGCAGGGCCAAAGCCTCTCATTTAAAACTCACTGACCACTCACAGGAACACTCCTCTATTTGACTTGCAGTGAAATTCCACTTTGATAAACCCTCTGGAAGAAATCGTTTTTTACAAAGGTAAGATATTTATTTATTTATTTATTTATCTATCTATCTATCTATCTATCTACTTACTTAAGAAAGAGCTCATGTGATTGGGGGAGAGGGGCAGAGAGAGAGAGAGAATTTTAAGCAGACTCCACACTTAGCATGAAGCCTGATACAGGGCTTGATCCCATGACCCTGGGATCATGACCTGAGCTGAAATCAAGAGTCAGGCGCTAAGCTTACTGAACCACCCAGGTGCCCCCTCAAAAGTGAGATGTTTTAGACTCAAATTTTCCTCAAATGCTCTAGATAAGAGATCCCTTTTAAAAAAACTTCTCTAATTCTAGTCCATCCTAGGTGTTCATAACCCTGATACTCTAGCCACATGAAAAGATGTTTTAATAATTTGCTCCTGTAATATCAATCAAATCTGCTCCATTACATATTCTAGAATTCGTGTCCTATTCTGAGGGGAGTATCTACGAATGGGTAGTAATGAAACTTCTACAGATTAAAAGATCAATCATTTTTAATGTTAAAACTTTTTAACATGGGTATTACTTTTTCAACGTTTATTTATTTTTGGGACAGAGAGAGACAGAGCATGAACGGGGGAGGGGCAGAGAGAGAGGGAGACACAGAATCGGAAACAGGCTCCAGGCTCTGAGCCATCAGCCCAGAGCCCGACGCGGGGCTCGAACTCACGGACCGCGAGATCGTGACCTGGCTGAAGTCGGACGCTTAACCGACTGCGCCACCCAGGTGCCCCAACATGGGTATTACTTTTTAAAACTGTGTGATCAGAGAAAGGGGAACTCTTTTCCACTGTTGGTGGGAATGCAAACTGGTGTAGCAACTCTGGAAAACAGTATGAAGTTTCCTCAAGAAGTTAAAAATAGAATTACCTTACTATCCAGCAGGGATAAATACTAGGTATTTACCCCCAGGGTCCAAAAATACTGATTTGAAGGGATAGAGGTACCCTGATGTTTACAGCAGCACTATCAACAATAGCCAAATTATGGAAAGAGCCCAAATGTCCAAAGACTGCTGAATGGATAAAGAAGATGTGGTGTATATATGCAATGGAATACTAGTCAGCCATCAAAAAGAATGAAATCTTGCCATTTGCAACTATGTGGATGGAACTGGAGGGTATTATGCTAAGTGAAATAAGTCAGTTGGATAAAGACAAATAACATGTGATTTCACTTATATGTGGAATTTAAGAAACAAAATAAATGAACATGGGCGGTGTGGGGAAGAGAGACAAACCATAAAACAAACTTTTAACTTTAGAGAACGAACTGAGGGTTGATGGACAGGAGGTAGGCAGGGGGTTGGGTTAAATGGGTGATGGTACTACGGAGAGCACTTGTTGAGATGAGCACTGGGTGTTGTATGTAAGTGACGAATCACTCAATTCTACATCTGAACCTAATATTATACTATACGTTAAGTGACTGGAATTTAAATGAAACTTGAAGAAAAATAAATGCCATTGACCAAAGCTAATTAGGCAGAGATGTTTTAGAGTAAGAAATCTAAGTGATTGGCAAAAAAACTGGAGGCAGGTGAGGAGAAAGAGGGACAAAGTGGGGATGACAATTTTGACACAAGGCATTGGTTTGCAATTTTGTGCTTTCTGCATGCCAGAAGTAACGATGAAGGAAGATGGATGAACAGAAAATGTTTGTGCCAGGACTGAGAAAGCATGGATGTTGAGTGACATCATGAACATAAAGTGGAGTCCAAGGGCTATGTCTTCCTATGGAAAGTTTGTAATGCTGTAGTAAGAAATGCCATTTGTTTAGTGAGTAGAGAGCTGTGCTTCAGAGACCATCAATTTGGTTCCACACAGAAGTGAAATGTTAGCCTGTGTTTCCTATTAGCTGTTGTGGGCACTGGTGGTGATCTTCTCAGCATCCGACTCTGTTTTGTCCTGTCCCAACAGAACTTGGACTTGTTCAGGTATCCCCCAGGCTTCCACACACCCCAGGAGACATGGGAAGCTGACCCCCCACTCCACAGTTCGCAGGAGTGAGCCTGCTTTAATAAGGATCATCTTGTTCCTGCAGAGGAGAGGTGAACAAGCCTTTCCTGTGAAGGGCCAGATAGTAAACACTTTAGGCTCTGTGGTCAGACACCCCTGTGGCGACCACTCAGGCCACTGTAGTGCAAAAGCAGCTCAAACAACACATAAATGAATGGGTGTGGCTGAGTTCCAAGGAAACTTTACTTGGGAACACTAAATTGTTAATTCCTTATAGTGTTCACCTCATAAAATGGCATTCTCTTTTTTGATTCTTTTCAACAACTTGAAAATATAAAAACCGTTTTTCAGCTGGCAGGCGGTACAAAACCAGACACTGGGTTGAATCTGGCCCGTGGGCTCTAGTCTGTTGACACTTGTTCTAGAGACCAGCACTTCTTTTTTTTTTTTTTTTTTAATTTTTTTTTCCAACGTTTTTTATTTATTTTTGGGACAGAGAGAGACAGAGCATGAACGGGGGAGGGGCAGAGAGAGAGGGAGTCACAGAATCGGAAACAGGCTCCAGGCTCCGAGCCATCAGCCCATAGCCTGACATGGGGCTCGAACTCACAGACCGCGAGATCGTGACCTGGCTAAAGTCGGACGCTTAACTGACTGCGCCACCCAGGCGCCCCATAGGGACCAGCACTTCTAACAGCATTTTGAGGGATAGTGGAAATGTTCTATAAGTGGCCACATGTGACTTTGAGTACTCGAAATGTGTCTGGGGTGAATTATTGTGTTTTAATTCTATTTAATTCTAAATAATTTAAATGTAAACAATCTCCTTCGGCTAATGTAATAAGGAATCTTCATTTTGGATGTTTGCTGACAGCTTTTAGGCCTCACGCCTCTGTCTTCCCCTTGTGCCTGCATTTATGCAAGCAGATAAGAAAGCCTAGGAGCTCCTCCTTTGCAGCAATGGGAGATTCTAACCACCCAAGCCCTTGCCTGCACCCAGGAACTCTCTTACTGGTCCCACCCATGACTATAATAAAGAACCGGGCCAGTCCCCTTTCCCTGCTCTCTTGAACTATTTTGAACCTGCTTGAGAGGGCTGCTGTGCTCTCGAGAGAGACATGAATTATGTGAGCTATCAAACCTTTCATATCCTCCTGGTGTATATGTGGCATCATCCGCTTTGACATCCAAACCAAATTTCGGGTGAGGGTTCATTTGCCTCTCGAGGTGACCATAACAGTGAGTCATTATCGTGTTGGACAGCACAGGTCACAGAATACTATGGGTACAGGGTAGGTGACTCTGGAGTTGGACTACTGAGAAAACAATGAGAAGTTAGGGATGTCTGGGAAATTTCTTTTTAATTTTTCGGAAATAATCCTCTTTCTTTGACTCAGTGTGAACGTGGAATTCTGCAGTCCATTTGCTGCTGGCATCTGTGTTTTGCCTATAAGGGGAAGCAGCCTTAGAGAATGAAATTGAGGGGCGCCTGGGTGGCGCAGTCGGTTAGGCGTCCGACTTCAGCCAGGTCACGATCTCGCGGTCCGTGAGTTCGAGCCCCGCGTCAGGCTCTGGGCTGATGGCTCGGAGCCTGGAGCCTGTTTCCGATTCTGTGTCTCCCTCTCTCTGCCCCTCCCCCGTTCATGCTCTGTCTCTCTCTGTCCCAAAAATAAATAAAAAACGTTGAGAATGAAATTGATCCTGTGATGGGATAGTGAGTCTTTAATGACAGTATTAAGCTGCTGGATCAGCCTCTTCTTGAAGCTGCCACCTCCTCTCAGCTTCCAGGGATGTGATTTCTGAATCAGATTTCTGTTAGTCTGAAACAGCCTAACATATATAATTGATTCTAAGAACCACACTCCCCAACCCAATTTTAAAATCTCTAAAACTGTAATCAGTCTTACAGTCTATAGTACAGCATAGTTTATTGGGAGAATCTTCTTTCTTCTTTGCAACACATAGGATAATATTGTGTCTTAAAATGTGGTGTCTTAGATCAGATGAACTGCTATAGATTTGACGACTACTTTAGGCTTTGGGATTTCTTTCTACTTCTGGCTTTTAATGCTTTAAGTAAGCTTTTGTTCTAAGATAATCTTTCCTTTAAGTTTGCAATAACCCCCAATATTATAAAGCTGTATTTTCAGGTTAGCACATCTTCAGAGCATGCCTAGTTGAACTTTAGTGCCAGGGTAAGATTTTATTACCTGAACAATACGTTCTCGTTTGTGAACTAAAGGCAATATGCAAAACATCATCCAAAAGTGGAGAGATCATTTGGGAATATCAACTAAATTAAAAAATATTGTTAAGGGGCTGACATATTCTAGCGCTATTCAAGCACTGAATGAACTGGCCTTGGATGAAATGAAAAAGAGTGTATCTGCTTAATTGTATGCTTGATGCACTCCATTGTCCCTGCCTACTGGTGGGCAAACTTAACTGTGAATTACATTTCTGTTATTATTCGATTTTTAACATTCTCTTTGTTTTATTGCAAAAATTCAGCCTAATGCAAGCATATTATTATGGGTTTTAAGTCAAGAACCACCAAGCATTGCCATTAATTCAAACATACTGAAATCCAAAATAAATACCCTCTTTCAAGAGCCAAAACTCCCAATTATGTTGAATTCTTTTATTACAAAAAGGGCCTTCTTGCCAGCCTTCCCTCTACTCCACCCCAAAACTGTATCCAAATGGGAACAAGAAACTGTAATGGAAAATAAAGTCCTATTTCATAATTTCAACAAAAAGATAAAACACCTAGAAAAATATGTGACCTATTTGCAGAAGAGTACAAAAGTTTGACATCTATAAAAGAAGTCGAATAAATAGATTAATATAATGGTTTTGTGTTGAAAAAGTAATGTCAGTCTTACACAAAATACTTAGTAGATTTATGAAATCCTCATAAAAACCCAAGATAAATGGGGAGAAGGGAGTGCAATACAGTAATTTTAAAGACGAAGGGCCAAAATAATCAAGAATATATTGAAAGTAAAGACTAATGAAAGAGAATCTGCCTTACCAGATAATGCAACTCCAATAATTAAAGCAGTGCGCTACTGACAACAGAATTGGCAGATGGATCAATGTAATGGATTTGATAGCCCAGAAATCGACCCCAGTATAGATGCGAGCTTAGTATATATTAAAGGTGGCATCACAAATCAGTGAAAAAAGGAACCATTATTGAATAAGTGGTCCTGGAACCGATGGTTAACTATTTGGAAGAACACAGTCAAATTACCACTCTAAAATAAATTGCAGCGGGTGACCTTTGACCTATTAAATGCTAGAGGTAAATATAGAATGAGAAGTACTCTTTCAGCATAAATGAATCAGAAGAAATCATAAGGAAAGTAAATCACAATAGAAGATGTAGCATATGTGTCTGTCTCCTCTCTTGTCCTCAGTGCCCATGAAATAGATAAGAAAGAATAGAATGAAAGAATCAAATCCTACGTAAAACAAACAAATAAAGTAAGTACCGTTACCAGAAAGTGATAAAGCTCTGGAAGATAGAAAGTAGAGAAACTATAGTCCAAAGCAACAAAGGAAAGGTCCTCCGCAGATAAGAACTATTCTCCCCAATAAAGCCCTAAAGCAGGCGTTCTTGAGGATGGTCCCCCGACCAGCAGCAGAAACTCCTGGGAACTTATTAAAAATGCAAATTCCTAAGTCTCAGTGCAGACCTACAGAGTTAGAAATTTGTGGAGTGGGTCCCGACCACCTGGATTTTTAAATTTTTTTTTTTTTCTTTTTCAACGTTTATTTTTATTTTTGGGACAGAGAGAGACAGAGCATGAACGGGGGAGGGGCAGAGAGAGAGGGAGACACAGAATCGGAAACAGGCTCCAGGCTCCGAGCCATCAGCCCAGAGCCTGACGCGGGGCTCGAACTCACAGACCGCCAGATCGTGACCTGGCTGAAGTCGGACGCTCAACCGACTGCGCCACCCAGGCGCCCCCCGACCACCTGGATTTTAACACGCCTTCCAGGTGGTTCTGATAAACATAGCATTCAAGAACTCCTTTTCTAGGAGGGCTCCTGGGTGGCTCAGTCAGTTAAGTGTCCAACTTTGGCTCAGGTCGTGATCTCACGGTTCATGAGTTCAAGCCCTGCGTTGGGCTATGTGCTGTCAGCTCAGAGCCTGGAGCCTGCTTCAGAGTCTGTGTCTCCCTCTCTCTCTGCCCCACCCCTGCTCGCACTGTCTCTCTCTGTCTCTCAAAAACAATAAACATTGAAAAAATTTAAAAAAAAAAGAACTGTTCTAGGAAAACTCCATGGACAAATACAGATGTTAAAGGGATAATCAGCAGGATAATTACATAATGGTCTACATTCCTAGCAGCTGGGCCCATAGAGCCTCCTCTTTACTGCCCATAACACTGAGGACAACTTTTTGTGTAGGGAAAGTGCCTAATGTCAGTGTGGGGGCAGTAGGGAAAGTGGAGCAGAGACTTAGAATTTCATACCCCCTTAATGCTAGCAGAGAGAGGAGGAAGAGCTTTTTCTCCCCAGAATGATTTATATACAACATGGCTCTCTGAAGTGGTTGTTCTGACAAGGGGGACTCTTAAGAGTTGTTGTGGAGCTGAGGAAGCAGGCATGCACCCCAGACAAGTCACTGCCACCAGGTAGAAACTGAGCCTCCTCATCTGGAAGTCAAAATATCCTTCTCGCCATCTGGCCCCATCTTGTCCACTGCACTCACCTATACTCAGAACTCTTATTCATCAACAGGAAAACAAGCATGCCATACAGCTTTGGAAAATTTGCCTTCGGCTTAGAGTAGCCATTGTTTTCTGTAGAGAGTCAGATAGTAAATGCTTTTGGCTTTGCACATCAGTTCTCTGTCCCAGCTACTTAGCTCTGCCACAGTAGCACAACAGCAGCCAGGGAGCACATGCACAGTGTGTGTGTATACAGTAGGAGTCGTCTTCCTGGCACGTATCCCACTGGGTGTTCTCCGAGCTTCCTGGATATGTGCTTTACTTTCTGACATTAATTTGGGAAGTTCTCAGTCATCATGATTTCAAATGTTTCTTCTATTCCTTTCTGTCTTCTCCTTCTGTTCCTCCCATTACTCACATTATACCCTTTGTTGATGTCTAGTTGTCTTACAGTTCCTGGCCACTCTGTTCTGGATTTTGTTGTTGTTGTTCAGTCTTTTTTCTCTTTGGTTTTCAGTTGTGGTCATTTCTGTTGAGCTGTCCTAAAGCTCAGAGATTCTTTGCTCAGCCCTGCCCAGTCTCTCATCAAAGGCATTCTTCATTTCTGTTAGTGTTTTTGATCTCTGACATTTCTTTTTGGTTCTTTCTTGGAATTTCCATCTCTCTGCTCACAGTGCCCATCTGTTCTCACATGCTGTCTACTTTGCCCTGCGTATGTTAATCGTAGTGGTTTTAAATTCCTGCCTGGTCTGATGATTCCAACATCCCTGCCATTATCTGCGTCTGGTTCTAATGCTTGCTCTGTCTCCTCAATCTGTGTTTTTCACCTTTCACTATGCCTTGTAATTTTTTTCTGATAGCCAGACACAATGGGCTGGGTGAAAGAAACTGCTGTGAGTAAGCCATTAGTAATGCAGTGGGAAGTGTGGGGACAGAGAAGTGTTCTATAGTCCTATTAGCAGATCTCCATGTTCGAGTGAGCCTATCCTGGACTGTGAACCCCACACATGTGAACCCCAGCCCCTTGCCCCTTAGGTAGGACAGTAGGGCTAGAAGGGGCCAGAGTTGGATATTTCCCTTCCTTTGGGTTAGGTTCTGGAAAAAGCCCAGCACGTGAGGCTGTGGTTAAATAGTTTCTCCTGTGGGCAGATACTGTTAAGACCAGAATGCTCTGACGTTGTTCAAAATAGTTCCTTTTCCCCTCTCACTGGGGAAGCATGTGGGGGTTTTGCTCTGATGTGCACTGTGAGGACCTGGTAACACTCCTGGAGGTAAAACTCTCTCAAGGGTGGGGACTCCCCCCCCCCCCCCGCAAAGACTGGATCCTTCTAGAGTTTTTCCCTCTCAGAGTTTGTCCTCGCTTAGTGCCCACCGGTTTGTCAGCTGTAGTTCAAGTTTTCCTCCTGCATGCTCCTTCCCGCAGACGCTGTGCTCTGGTGGATGGTGGTTCTGTTTGCCTGTCAGTCTCGCCACTTCTAAGGGCTGCCATTTGCCCTACAACCATACTTCTCGTATGCGTTGAAGAGAAGTTGTTGACTTCTCAGTTTGTTCAGCCCTTTACTTGTTAGGACGGAGTGGCAAGCTTCTTCCATGCAGAACTAGAAACCAGAAGTCGAAGGATGAAATCTTAAGGAATGGGCTCTCAACCTGAATTTAACGAATGGGCTTATTAATCACCTGATTTCTATTCCAGCCTACACTGGCAGTAGAGATAAAGTGGCTTTCATTGGAAACTCTGGCCGGACAACGAAATGAAGAACACCGGGAAGCAGGGGAACAGACCAGGGCTCTCAGAGCTTAGCAGGGAGACATTACAAAAGCCACAGAAGAGATGGCAGTTTGGGGAGAGGAGGCATCCAGCTAAACGGTTCTCATGGAAACCAAGCGTACCAGTTGCATGAGAAGGAGCTGAAGGGACCAGGATGAGGGCTGCTTGATCCTGACAGGTAGCTGCTAATTAGCAATCAAAACCTAATTGAGATTAACAGCTGTTTTTCTAGTACAGTTACTAACAGGGAGGCAGAAATGGTATGAAGATCATCCAAGCTCTACAAGCTGCATTTTAACATCAGAAACTACGAGAATAGAGCAATGTGCCAAGCGAGCAGGGAGATGAAAGCGGGCCATGAACACAGAGCTGAGCTGACAGGCCAGAGAAGGCTGGATCCATAGGACCAATTAGGATGTCTACAGGGGTGCTGGAGGCAGATTAAAGGGGCAGGATGCAAACAACAATAGAGCGTCTATTCACTGGCTGGTGTGGCCGAGCGACAGCCTGGCACTCCTGGAGAGAAGGGCACATGGGCGGGCGCAGCTCTCTTAGCTATCAGCCGGGCCTCGGGTTAGGCTGGAAATTGTTTCAAATGCACTGCCTGAGCACCGTCCTAGTCCTGAATGTAGGAATATCTATTGTGTGGAGGCCCCACTCTCCCCAAGGGGGTGAACCTGCTGACACTTCCGACAGGTAAAGCACACTGAATGGTCAGTCTCTCTCTTTGAAATCCTTTCAGTGGGTTTTCTTTTTCCAAGGCACTCTCAGCCTAGTGGCTGTGAAGGGGCTCCCTTAATTACCACTAGGAGAACTGGTGACTGCCAGGAGTATGGCGCAGGACCTAGGAGGAAGTAAAGCACTGCACACTCAATCAGCGTGGTTTAAAGCCGTTAGGCCTCCTGCTGCCTTGGCCATTGGAATCTACTGGAAAGCTAGAGGAATATGACACAGCACCTACTGTATGTCCAGCGCTCATCTAAGTGCTTGACACATAGTAATTCGTGGAATCCTCACAGCACCCCTGTGAGATACTTGTGCACTGCTATCGCCCCCACTTTACAGATGAGAAAACTAAGGCAGAGAGGTTAAGGAATGTGCTCTGATTTACGCGGCTAAAAATTGTACAGGGAGGACTGGAACTTGTGGATTCTGGCTCCAGGGTCTGCACTCATAGCCACTAACCTGCAGTCTGCAGCCCAGCATTAGTGTCCTCACTTACCACCTCTCTAGAATACAGAAGTGCAGGCCCTGCCCAGACCTGCTGAGTTAGAAGCTGCATTTAACGAGGTCCCCAGGTGATTCCTACGCATATTAAGGTTTAAGAAACGCTGTACTATGCTAGGCACCCTTATACAGATCTATGTCTTGTATGTATAGTAATAGTTAATTAATATTAAGAACATAAATCTCTCCTCAATAACAAGGACACACTGCAGTTAGAGTAACGCAAAAGACAGGGCGGGTAATATCCTGAACTGAATGCTTTTCTCTATCTTCATTCATTAGGTCTTGTTTCCTAAATAAGGCTTGTTTATTTTTCTTGCGACTCTCTCTGCCACAGGCCATTTTCATAGCCAGTGATTGTTTTTGTTTCAACAAATATCCCCTACATTTTGAGGTCATAATTGCCTTTTTATTACCGTTTTTCCTTCTCTTGCCTCAAATATCTCAACTCTAAAGTTTTCACAGTGATAGGAGCTTAGTTTATTTCTAGAACAATCAATTCCTGTTGGGTTTCTCTCCGTCTGCTCCTCCTCACACTTCCTTCCATGGTTGTCCTGAAATACTGTTTATTAGGAATATACGTAGAGACTGGACCTCTCATACATTGCAGGTGGGAATGTAACATCCTTTAGCCCCTCTGGAAAATAGTTTGGCACCTTCTTATAAACGTACACATAGATTTTCCTAGGAGACCCCGCAGTCCCACTCCTGGGGGCTTAACTTAGAAAAATAAAAACTTGTGCTGTCACAAAAATGGACACCTAAATGTTTACAGCAGCTCTTTTAATAAGTGCCGAAAGAAAGAAAGAAAGAAAGAAAGAAAGAAAGAAAAGAAAGGAAGGAAGAGAGAAAGAAACTCGGAACAACCTAAATTTCCTTCACCGAGTGAATAGGTAAACAATTGTGGTTCGTCTATATAGTGGAATACTATTCAGCAATAAAATGGAATGAACTACGGAGATTCTAAACACTATGGATGGATCTTGAAAGCATTATGCTAAGTGAAAAGCCCAGACATAAAAAAAAAAAAAACATATCTTTTGTCGTTCCATTTATATGAACTTTTAGAAAAGGCAAAGCTATAGTGATAGAAAGCATTTCTGTGGTTGCCAGGGGCTGGGGGCTCGGGGACAAGGGTACAAGGAAACTTTTGGGGCTGATGAAAATGTTCTGTATTATAATCATGGTGTTGGTTACACTGCCTTATGCACTTGTCAAAACCCACTGAATTGCACATTTAAAACTTGTGAATCTTATGCATAATAAAACTGTGATGGTTAACTTTATGTGTTGACTGGAGTTGACCTCATGGTGCTTCTATGAGGGTGTTTGTGGAGGAGGTTAACATTTGAATTGGTAGACGGAATAAAGCAGGTTGGCTTCCCTAACGTGGGTGGGCTTCATCCAATCAGTTGGAGGCCTGAATAGACCTAAAAGGCTTGACCCTCTTGCGGTGAAGAGGGAAATTTTCTTGCCTAATCACCTTGAGCTGTTGGGACATCTGTGTGTTCTGGCCTCTAGACTTGAATCGAAATATTGGCTCTTCTTGGGTCTCGAGCCTGCTGGCTTCCAGGATGGAACTGCACCATTGGTTCTCAGGGTTCTTGGGTCTTGGGATCGAGACTGAAACTCACGGTATCAGTTCTGGGTCTCCAGCTTGCCAATTGGAGACCTTGGGCTTCTCAGCCTCCATAGTCATGTGAGGCAAGGCCTTATGATGAATGAATGAATGAATGAATGAATGAATGAATGAATGAATGAATTGGTTCTGCTTCTGTGGAGAACCCTGACAAAAGCTAAGCCACAGTAGAAGAATTAGGGATTCATTACAGGTTGATCTAAGGAAGAAGACGGAAAGGTATCAGATCCACCTCAGCAGTTGGTGGTCATTATTTTCACCATTAATCATCAGATAATAAAAGTCTCTTTCTTTAGAGCCTGCAAATACCCAATGCTGGTAGGGCAGTTTGTTCTCTGGAATAGTCTGAGTAAATTCAATGCTTAAAGAAAACACATTATAAACATGTTTACAGTGTCCTGAGGCTTTAGAGTCTGAAATGAGTTCTATATAGATGCCATAAACTTCTTGTAATTAAAGACATGCTAAATGTTAGTTGCATTAATGCTGAAGAAATACAAATACATAGTCTGAAGCCATTGAGAGTTAGTTATCTCTTAAATCCCATTAAGAGTAAAACTTCAGTGCTGGTAGACCCAAGGCCCCATCCCTTTTACTATCAGAAGATGCTTTTTGAAAAGCCCTCCTCCTAAGATATTACTGGAAACCCCAAGGCCATGCTTATGTGTATGCACAAAGTGGCCTGTTAGCCAGTCAGCCCTCAAGTCTACACTGTCTAGCCCAGGCCTATATTTTCACAGAGGAAACACTGTGAGTCTGTGGGCTCTCTTTGCATGGCCCCTGACCCCAAAGTCATTCATAAGGTGGATTTGCCCCACCCCATCTTGATGATACTAAGCAAGCATCAAAATGCTTTGAAGTCAGAATTTCACTATAGCTCATACAGATTGAGAAGGAAAACACTTCTTTATTAAATGTTTTGGGGCTCCCAAGCACAACCACTTGGGTTCAAAAACATTAGAGCTGTTAGCAAACTAGCCCTTTCAATACTCAGAGACTCTTTTCTTTCTGATGCACAGGCTGGCCTGGGTCACTTTCAATACTGGAAGGCATACGTGCCAGGAGCCACGACCTCATCCCACAATTAAACCCTGCTGTTGTGTGCTTGACCAGTCCTTCCTTTCCCCTTACGGTCCATGTTCATCCAGGGACCTCCATCACTTTTCACTCTGTAATCTGGCTCCCATCAGGGCTACCCCAGTTCACCCTCTATCTCTGTATCTCTGAATATTATATATGGACAGAGTTTAGCCCAAGAGTCTGTCAGTCTCAGTGAAAATCAGTGGCAATAAATAGATGCCTAAAGTGCATGTTCCAGAAGCTCCAACTCCTACTCAGCCGTGTTCTCCTCTTACACACAAAAAATTGTTCTCCAAGTATAATTTGCTTTTTATCATAAAGTGTATTTTTTAAGTCTATGGATTATATTCTAGAATTGAAAAGGCAGATGAACAGTCAGGTTCTGAGAGGGCAGGAACTTGAACAGATCTGGGGCCCCGAAGAGCATGAAAGAAGGTATAGTCTCTACTGCATGTGTGGGATGCCTCTAGAAGGAGAAGTCAGTTGGAACCATTTTAATTTCATTTGCTTTTTCTAAACTGTGAAGTATTTCATACACAAAGCCCAAGTATAGGAGATAATGTAACAGACAACTATGTCCAGTACTCAGTATTATCAAATCATATAGATATTGCTAGATTTGCATAAATAAATTAGTATATACCCAATGGGAGCTCTTAAGTGGCACGTTAAAAAGTGAAATGCAAGTTCTTTGCATCTCCTCCCAGCAAGAACCTATTTCTCCATCCCTTGACTGTGGGCTGGCCCTGTGGCTTATTTGGACAATAGGATATGATGGAATGACATTATATGGCTTCTGAGACTTGGCCTTAAGAGAGAAACCTCACAGCTTCCTCTTTCAGTGTCTTGGAATGCTGCCACTTTGTGAACAAGCCCAGGCTCTCTCTCCTTGAGAGAGAGTGCATGGAGAGAGCTCTCATACAGAGAGAGGGTCAGGCATCAAAGCTGAGGCCCCAGAGCTGTGAGTGAGGACATCTTGGACAGACAGCTGCAGCTGACAAGCCAACTGGACAAAGACCTATGAGCAAGCACTGTTGACACTATGTAGAGGAGAAATGACCCACACCAACTGAGCCCTGCCCAACTGCCAACCCATAGAGTCATGAGCAAATACATAGCTGTGGCTTTAAAGCCACTCTTTTTTGGGACAGTCTGTTAATTGCAGCAATCGATAACCAAGGCCACGCTGTGGACACCCTCCTCAAACTCATTCTCTATATTCCTCCCCCCAAAAAGATAAACACTGTCATTTCAATGCATGATTTTAGCATGTTGCTACATATTTGTGCTCCCTTAAAAAATATATAATACTGTTTTAGTGTTTTTTTTAATTTTTTAATGTTAATTTATTTTTGAAAGAGAGAGAGACAGAGAGAGTGAGTGGAGGAGGGATGGAGAGAGAGAGGGAGACACAGAATCCGAAGCAGGCTCTAAGCTGTCAGCCCGATGTGGAGCTCAAACCAACCAACAGTGAGATCATGACCTGAGCCAAAGTCAGATGCTCAACCAAGTGAGCCACCCAGGTGCCCCTGCAGTGTTTTAAGCTATATTTAAATAGTATTAAACTCTCTTATTCTATGACTTGCTTTTATGCACAAAATGTACTGAGACTC